CAGAGAAATATTCTCTGCCCTTTGACATACCTGAACTTCAAATCACTTTTGGGTAGACTGCTTCAAGAATCGTTTTGAAATACAGTATGGGAGACTGAAAATGTACTTTTTGTTAAAAAAATACATTTCCTTCCAAACTTTACTTTGAATCTCCTCCCAGTATTCTCAAACCAAGGGACAACAATAAAAGAGCCTGTTTTTTAATAAGATGGGGTTGTCTATGTCTCTTCTGAAAGGAAAAACCCACTGCAGGAGAGCTAAGAAGGGTGACATCCAAGGATAGAACCACTTCAATGAAAGTTCCTCAACATAAGGGGCATAATACATTGCACTAAATGCCTACTCAGTGTTAGGCACAGCATAAAATGCATGGAATCATGAATCTAGCAGGGCACGTAAGAGAGGTCTGGACAATCAACAAGGTCACTTCACAGCTCACTTAAGCAGCTGCTGGGAACAAATACACAGCATGCTTAGGGTCCCTTCCTTAGATGACTAAGGCACAGAGCATTCCTAAAAGGAGTGCATGGTCATCCTGCTCTTCCAGGATGGCAGAACTTGCAGCAGTCAGGTTGGTGCTTGGTCTATTTTTAAAAATAATATGAAAGGAAGCAGGTCTTTCAGAATTGGTTTCTCAGGGGGACCCCCCCAAAACAGAAAAAAACAAGACTGACTGGGTATAAAAAAAAAAGATTTGATCAGTTTTTTTTGGGGGGGAGGTGAGAGGGAGTGGACGCGACAGCTGGCTGGTAAGGGGATCCAAACCCTTGACCTGGGTGTTATAAGGCTGCGCTTTAACCAACTGGGCTAACCGGCCAGCCCCTGATCAGTTTTTAATAGTAATGCCCATTAGAAAGAATTTGCAAATATCAAGTAGAGAGATTTTACCTACACAATAAATATTGAAGGAGGATAAAATTATAAATGCTTTGGAACAGTTGAAGGCAGGCCTGTCTAAATTAGGGAAAGATGAAGAAAATACTTTTCATTCACTATGTTCTGTACTTGACCTTTTTCTGTTAATTAAAAAAGGAATGCCNTATTTTTAAAAATAATATGAAAGGAAGCAGGTCTTTCAGAATTGGTTTCTCAGGGGGACCCCCCCAAAACAGAAAAAAACAAGACTGACTGGGTATAAAAAAAAAAGATTTGATCAGTTTTTTTTGGGGGGGAGGTGAGAGGGAGTGGACGCGACGGCTGGCTGGTAAGGGGATCCAAACCCTTGACCTGGGTGTTATAAGGCTGCGCTTTAACCAACTGGGCTAACCGGCCAGCCCCTGATCAGTTTTTAATAGTAATGCCCATTAGAAAGAATTTGCAAATATCAAGTAGAGAGATTTTACCTACACAATAAATATTGAAGGAGGATAAAATTATAAATGCTTTGGAACAGTTGAAGGCAGGCCTGTCTAAATTAGGGAAAGATGAAGAAAATACTTTTCATTCACTATGTTCTGTACTTGACCTTTTTCTGTTAATTAAAAAAGGAATGCCATTTTGCAAAATCTTTAATGATGTTCTAAGCCGGAGATTATCACCTGGCTGTGCCTCCACATTTGGCAACGTCTGGATATACTTTTGGTTGTCACATGGGGGGTGGGTGTACTACTGGCATCTAGTGGGTAGAGGTCATGAAGGCTGCTACAATACAGAGGACAGATTCCCACAACAGAGAATCATCCGGCCTAAAATGTCAATAGATGAGGTTAGAAATCCTGTTCTAAGCTAGTGTTACCAACCTGTTTAAGGAAGATCAAAATCTTATAACTAACATCTCAGTTGTTTGTCAGCAAATGGATGGTGCTATAGTGATGAAAAAGCTGTGCAAATTTATTTTCTCAACTTCTTAAATACTTCTTAAAGTCCGCCTTACACTATAAGTGTATTGGACCCTTCTGTTCCAAGAACAGTGAGGGTGAATTTTATTCCTAGTTTAACCCTCCTCCAAAACTATCTGGATATTCCAGCAACTTGAATGTGTAGGGACTGAGCTAATGAGGCTTTATTGTACGGAATGACTGACCCTATGTTGAAGTCTTTAACTGAAGAGTCAGCCATCCTAATCTCATGGCACAAGAAGTAACATCCCCAAAGGAAGAACTGTTTTATTACCAGTACTGGATTTCAAAGAGAGTAATTAAGCTCTTCAGCCTGCTAGTTCTTTGTTACATAAAATTTGAGTAATATGGGGATGGGGGTACAAACACAATTTGTGGTACGGTGCATGCCGCCTGTATGGATCTGGCCTTCACATTCTTTTCCATTCAGCTTTTACTTTTTTTTTTTCCTTTTTGTCTTTTTCTTCGTGACCGGCAACGGATTGCAACCCTCAGTGTCGCGCCCGTACCGGACCGGGACCGGCAACGG